AGGGAGGGGGGGGGGGGGAGAACGTGCAGATCTGTCCTCGCAGAGGAGGGAGAGCTTGTACCTGAAGGCGGGCTGGAGGGGGCTCTGCAACTTACTTGCCTGCTTCTTGCTCCTCATGGCCCGACTGAGGGCTGCTGGGAGCAGGGGGTGGGGCTTGTTGCATGTGCCCACCCCCTGGGCTCCTTACTGCCGGAGCTCTGCTCCTGTGCGCTCCTGCAGGAAATGACCCCTGGTTGTGAAAAATAGAAGGAGTGTCATTATTAGCGGGGGGGGAGGGATGAGAGCAGAGGGGGATCCGCCCTCTTCTTGGGAGGGGCCAGAACTCTGCAGCAGAGGGCGCACTGGAGAGCTAAAGTCTGCAGTGAGAGGCTGGTTATGGCAAGTGTTCCCTCTAAGCTGAGTGAGTGTGAGCTGGCTCACAGTTTTCTAGCCTCCGGCTCACACATCATCATCATCATCATCATCATCATCATCATCTTTCCATTTATTGATCGCTCAATCCTGCAGAGCTTGCTGGCTCTGAGCGATTTACAGTTACTCATTTTTCACAAGGGACTAACAATGCTTTGTGGGTAAGGGAGGACAACATATATACATCTTTGTTTGCACACATTCACAGCCGACGAGGGTTTCGTTCAGTTGCAGATGAGACGTGGTCCGGAACGGCATTTTCCTCGGCCTGGTTTGATGGCGTCAGCTCTCTCCAGATTCCTTCGAGTTGTAGCGCCACACTGCCATCGCCTGGCCAGACGGCCCATTACAGGCTTTTTCCATGCCGATGAGATCTCTCTAGGCTTTCCGATCTTGCGAGCTGGACTTCCTTTCGCCGGCTAACACCGTTCCACCCCACGAGGGGTGGGGGTTCAGTGTGCCCACTCTCTCTAAGGAGTGGTACCCATTTTATCTACTCGCCGAAGCTTTCGAACCACTGGGTCGACGGCAAGCTGGGGACAAGGCTGGCAGCTCACACCAGCGCGGGGCTCGAACGGACAGCAAGCCTGTTCAGCTCAGATGTTACTATTATAACCAGAGGATAAATCCTCTGTGCCACCGCTCCCCATTGTCGTCTTAGCTCAGGAAGGAGGGCTCCGGAAGAGCAAACTGTTTCATGCAGCCCCCAAATGGCTCCCTCCCCCCTTTCATGCCAGTCACTCACAATGCAGAACTTTTGCTCACAAGATGCCACAGCTTAGAGGAAGCAGTGGTTCTGGCTACCAAGGCTCCTTTCTAAGAAGCCTCAAAATGTCTTACGATGGTGCCATGCTTCAGTTCTCTGTGGTGGTTCCAGACTTCCTAATGCATTGGTTATCGGATGTCCCGTCCAGTGCTCCCTCTAAGCTGTGGAGTCTTGTGAGCAAAAATTCTAGTTTGTGAGATACTGGTGTTAAAGTTGTGAGCGAGTGATTTGGTGACTGCATAAATTAGTCTGCTCTGGAGCCCTCCTTCCTGAGCTAGGACAAAAATTTGTGAGCTGGAGGCTAAAAAACGGTGAGCTAGCTCACACTCACTCAGCTTAGAGGGAACACTGGTCCCGTCTTGTCGCCCGGACCTGGACAGCCCAGGCGAGCCTGATTTTGTCAGATCTCGGACGCTGAGCAGGGTTTCAACTCGGGCAAGTAATTGCATGGGAGACCTCCTTGGAATACCAGAGGCAGGAGGGGGGGGCAGGCTTTACTCAGTAGGGGTCAGTCACCAGAGGTCACTGTGACTTCCAGGTGCACAAGCAGTCACTCACCAGAGGTTGCCATGACTTCCACTTTTGCACACACACTCACATGCATGCACACATACATGCTGTCACAACCCTGCACTGGGCGCGTCCAGTGTTCCCTCTAAGCGGTGGAGTCTGATGAGCAAACATTCAGCTGCCTCAGAAGGTGGTGAGCTCCTCTTCACTGACAGCTTTCAAGAAGAGGCTGGACGAATATTTGTCGGAGATGCTCTAGGCTGGTCCTGCATTGGACAGCAGGGGTGGACTAGATGGCCTCTGTATGGCCCCTTCCAACTCTATGATTCTGTGATTCTATAACAGTGGAATCAGCTGCCTGGGGAGGTGGTGAGCTCCCCTTCACTGGCAGCTCTCAAGAAGAGGCTGGACAAATATTTGTCGGAGATGCTCTAGGCTGGTCCTGCATTGGGCAGGGGGTTGGACTAGATCAGTGGTGGCGAACCTATGGCACCAGAGGTGGCACTCAGAGCCCTCTCTGTGGGCATCTGTGCCATCACCCCAGCCAGGCCCAGACCATCATTAAAGGCTTGAATTCTCTGCCAAATAATTTTAAGTAGATGAAAGTATTTGGGATTGCTTTCCTTACTTTGTTTGGATCATCTTAAGTTAATGTATGAGTTGTTTTTTTCTAAAGTAAAACCTCAGGATTCAGGTTAAATTGCCGTGTTGGCACTTTGCGATAAATAAGTGGGCTTTGGGTCGCAGTTTGGGCACTCGGTCTCTAAAAGGTTTGCCATCACCGGACTAGAAGGTCTCTATGGCCCATTCCTACTCTATGATTGTGTGATTCTATAACAGTGGAATCAGCTGCCTCAGGAGGTGGCGAGCTCCCCTTCACTGGCAGCTCTCAAGAAGAGGCTGGACAAATATTTGTCAGGGATGCTCTAGGCTGGTCCTGCATTGGGCAGGGAGTTGGACTAGATGGTCTCTAGGGCCCCTTCCTACTCTATGATTCTATGAAAATGGGCTCAGGGCTGCTCACAACAATTAAGATCTAAATAAATGACAGCAGGAAGACCCAGGTGCTTTCTTTGCCACTCGCTGCTCATTGACGTTGCATTGCAGGTGTGCAACAGCAAGCAGAACTGCCACTGCGCGAACGGGTGGGCCCCTCCCTTCTGCGAGGGCAAAGGCTACGGAGGAAGCGTCGACAGCGGGCCCCCTCCGAAACCCAAGCGTGAGTATTGCAATACCGCAAAATGCGTCTGCCCTTCAGTTTGTTTCCCGGGAATCATCCCTGCTTCGGCTCTTTGTTTCCAACGGTTGTGTGTCACCAATTCCCATGTGCTTGCGCTTCCGTAGCGGGCGGGCTGGGAGCGTCTTCCTGAACAGTTCAGAGTCTATTGGCCCTGGGCTGGGGGAGACGCTGCTACAAGCTGGTTCATTTCAGAACAGACTCGACCGGAGTCCGGGTCTGGTTGAGGCTGGCTAACCTCCAGATGGAGATGGAAAAATAGATGACACTTAAAGGTAAAGGTAAAGGTTCCCTTGCTCGAAAGCCATTCGAATCCAACTCTAGGGTTGCGGTGCTCATCTCCGTTTCAAAGCCGAAGAGCCAGCGCTGTCCGAAAATGTTTCCGTGGTCATGTGACCGGCATGACTAAACACCGAGGCGCACGGAACGCTGTTACCTTCCCACTGAAGTGGTCACTATTTATCTACTTGCAATTTCTTGCTTTCGAACTGCTAGGTTGGCAGGAGCTGGAACTAGAGACGGGAGCTCACTCCGTCATGCGGCACACTCGGGTCTTGAACTGCTGAACTACTGACCTTCCACAGCCTGCAGTTCAGCGTCTTAACCACTTGAGCCACCGCAGCTCCTTAGATGACACTTACGGTACTTCTATTTGGGGCTTTTTGTTTGTCTTTCCTTAATTTTACTATACTTGAAAAGTACTGAGAAACGTTGAGTGATTTCAGCAAAGTACTTTTATTAGGATAGAACAAGACAAAGACTGCCGGCTCGCAGGCCGGTATTTATGCCCAGAAAACCCACCACCAAAACACACCCCCTACTTCCCTATAGGCGGACCCGGCCCTCTGATAGGTGCGGGCTAGGATCCGCTCAGCTATTGTTCTCAGGGGAGCGAAGCTCTGCTGTTTGGCCTGACCGCATGGCCCAACGGTCGCGCACGTGGTCATGGCGGAGTACATTACAATACTATTATATAAATATTGGTGTCAAATATTACCAAACCGGTTCACCAAAATAATAGATCAGAGTACAGGTTTACACTGTGTTCAAACATTCAAAGAAGAAGAAGAGATTGGATTTATACCCCGCCCTTCACTACCCAAAGGAATCTCAGAGCGGCTTACAAACTCCTTTCCCTTCCCCTCCCCACAACAGACACCCTGTGAGGTAAAAGAAGAAGTTCACCAAAATAATAGATCAGAGTACAGGTTTACACTGTGTTCAAACATTCAAAGAAGAAGAAGAGATTGGATTTATACCCCGCCCTTCACTACCCAAAGGAATCTCAGAGCGGCTTACAAACTCCTTTCCCTTCCCCTCCCCACAACAGACACCCTGTGAGGTAAAAGAAGAAGTTCACCAAAATAATACATCAGAGTACAGGTTTACACTGTGTTCAAACATTCAAAGAAGAAGAAGAGATTGGATTTATACCCCGCCCTTCACTACCCAAAGGAATCTCAGAGCGGCTTACAAACTCCTTTCCCTTCCCCTCCCCACAACAGACACCCTGTGAGGTAAAAGAAGAAGTTCACCAAAATAATACATCAGAGTACAGGTTTACACTGTGTTCAAACATTCAAAGAAGAAGAAGAGATTGGATTTATACCCCGCCCTTCACTACCCAAAGGAATCTCAGAGCGGCTTACAAACTCCTTCCCCTTCCCCTCCCCACAACAGACACCCTGTGAGGTGGGTGGGGCTGAGAGCTCTGACAGAAACGGCTCTTTTTTCCCAAGGACAGCTCTTATCAGAACTACGGCTTGCCCAAGGTCATCCAGCCAGGTGCAAGCGGAGGAGTGGGGAATCAATCCCGGTTCTCCCAGATTAGAGTCCGCGCACTTCACCACGACACCAAACTGACTCTCTACCCTCACGGGTCTGATCCAGCAGGGCTCTTCTGATGTTCTCAAACACCACCTTGTCAGCTTCACAGATGTTGGTGAAACCTATGTTTGGTAATACTTGACACCGATATTTATATAAGTATAGAAAAATTAAGAGAAGACAAATCAAAAGCCCCAAAGAGATACATCTGTTATACACAGTGTCGTATATTTTTCCATCTCTTCCAAACTTGGTGACCCTCAGTTTTCGTACAACCTCCAGGTGAAGCCTGGAGCTCTCCAGAATTAGAACTTCTCTCCAGGTGACAGAGACCAGTTTCCCCTGGAGGACATGGATGCTTTGGAGGGTGGGCCTGGACTCTATGGCATTATTTTTAGTTTTTTAAATTTATTATTAAATTTATATCCCGCCCTCCCACCATATGGTGGGCTAACACCATAGGTATCAATATATATATTAAAACTCCATAATACACATCAATAAGGTCAACTTAAATTGCTGTATGAAACATAACCTCAAGAGCACCGCACTTTATTTAATTAATTAATTAATTAATTAATATTTATTTATAGCTTCGACTTCTATACCGCCCTGACCCCGGAGGGTCTCTGGGCGGTTTACAGAGGTTTCTAATGTTGCTATCCCTAACTACGGCCACATAGTGGGGGGTGGGGCTGCCTACCGGCACCCTGGTGGTAGGCATTGCTGTTTCTCCGGCTCGGCTCCTTTCTTGCGAGGACTGTTTTTATGCTGTTTGATGGTTGTTTTTAT